TAGACGCCACGTGGAGACTCTATTTCACGTTTGCGTATATATGTGCACTTCCTTAGCGCAGTGGAAATGTGCAGGCCCATAACCTGTTGATNTAATTCCGTGTTAAATACGCAGTAAAACGCGGAGCCTTAATTTAATGTGTTCTCTTTTATTTCAATTCAACCGGAAGAAGGAACAACAAAAGGGTATAAGACTAAGTAGATAAATTGTGTTTCTATACTACGGGTGATGCCAGATCTGCATTATATTATTCATATTATTATTTTCAACAATCTTAAGGTCGAAGTGCTCTATCCACAACAATAATCTAAATTTTTAACTTTTTAATCAGATTTTTTTTTGAGTATGCTGTTTTATAGCCCATTTAATTTTAGTACAATAAAGAGAAGGTTTTAAGTTGCTAAAAAATCGCATTAATAATTTTTTCCATGCACAAAAAATTGTCGCACATACTTTGTATGGAAGACTTTATTGCACTAAAATTTAATGGGCTGTAAAAATGGATGCCAAAAAAATCTAAAAAATCTTATTAAAAATTTGCAAATTTAGATGGAACTTTGCAAAATTTTTATAATTTTTGCACAAAGTTTGAAATATGAATTTATGTTGGCTTTGTTAGACAAGAAGCTGAATTAAAAAAAAAATAATAAATATTAATTAAACATAAGAAATATAGCTAAAAATGTTCAAAATAAGGCGTTTCTATTATTTTTGTGTGTATAAGTATCTGTCAAGCTAAAATGTTTGTGAAGAAGTCAAAATGTTAAAGCAGATCTTTTAAGTTTACTCTCTTTGTCTTATAAGGTTATTTTCCGGAAAAAAGTTTCCAATTATGTTTCTTATTTTTTTTATAAAAACATCGATTTTTCAGTATTTTTTCACGAAATGCACTGAATTGAGAAAAAATAAAATTTACAAAATTGTATGATGCGCTGCTTTTTAGAGGCATCCTAAAGTATCTCTGAATTTAAGTTATCTGTATGTACAGGCTGCATCAGCTACAACGACTGCCCATATCGGCGTGTACCAGTCTTGTTTTTACGTGCACCTTAGACTTACTCAGGTTTAGCATAGTATCGTTTGGCGGTGTCGATATGTATGTGGATATTCAAATTCACACAAACATACAATTTTATGAGCAGAATAAATTTCAAAGTGTATATCGTTACCTTAATATAGAAAGGCCCTATCTCACAACGACGCTGAAATACAAAAAGCCGTAACTAAGCAAACATCCGAAATGCCCGCTTCGATTGATTATGATGTATTTCATCGAATTATGTGTCCCAAACCATTTTAAGCAATAAAAAATTTTAGTCAGTTACGGCTTTTTTGCATTTCAGCGACTGTATGAGTTAGGGCCTTTCTATATTAAGGTAACGATATCCTGGTTAAAGAATGTTTTAGATAAATTTATGTCCCACAAAAGTGTATCAACAAGTGTGCATTAGGGTGGTCCAAAATAAGTGGAGTCGGAATTTTAGTGCTCTCACCCCCAGGCATTGTTCCATACCGAAAAAAACATAACACTGTTTTTTTTTTATTTCGAAATCAAAAAATATTTAGAGGCCACTCAAAGTTTTTCATGTATTCTATATGGAGAAAAAACAATTTCGTAGAATTTTTGAAAATCAATTTTTTACGATCGGACAACTCTGTTTCTCTTTAGGAGACTTCAAAGAATATTAACCAATTGTTTATTTAACATTTTTTTATATTAATTATTTTTTACAAGGCTCCACAAACCACAAAAATGGAATGGGTGACCCCCAAAAAAACATGGGTATATTTTTTCGGTATAGATAAATCTTAGGGGGGTGGAGCATTACAATCTGGACTTTATTTTTCCACATGCATTTTTGAACCACCCTAGTGTACAAAAGGTTTATAGTTACATGCATTCCTTTTTTCTTCCTTTCCAACCATTCTGCTTAGCACTTACTACTACTTCCCATCTAATTTCCTTTTTTGTATAATTTGATATGCAATATGTACGAGTATTTCCATTTATGTATGTATTTACGTTTTTTTTTTATTTATTTATTGCTTTACTTATTTTCTTGTCATTTTCATTTCATTTCAGCTGCCAATACTATTTGACAAGTCATCCATGGGTACCAGCATATCAGGGTGTCATCACATTTTTCGTTTTGGCCAATTTCTCATTAGCGACATTCATGGATCCCGGTGTCATACCAAAAGGTTGGTAGATAATTAATTTGATTTGTTGGCACTTGAAAACTTGTTTTCTTCTTCTGTTTTTTTTTGCAAATTTTCTCACACAGCTTCACCAGATGAGGACCGGGAGGAGGAGTTTCGTGCACCACTTTATAAAAATGCCGAAATCAATGGCATCACAGTAAAAATGAAATGGTGTGTGACTTGTAAATTCTATCGACCACCACGTTGTTCACACTGTTCCGTATGCAATCACTGCATAGAAGTGAGTATAAGTGTTTGATTTGATTATACGATGGCTGTTACTGCATTTATGTGAGTGGTTACTACATCTATTTTTTTTTTCGATTTTTATTACAGACATTCGATCATCATTGCCCTTGGGTGAATAATTGCATTGGACGTCGCAATTATCGTTTTTTCTTCTTCTTTCTGGTTTCGCTGTCCATACACATGCTGAGCATATTTTCGTTATGCTTATTTTATATACTGAAAGTTACACCACGTATAAAGGAGCCATCGCCCATCGTAGCGTATCCTTTTCGAAAGTTGACTAAATTATTTTAGCTTTTTTATCTTTACATCACAGTATTTAGTAGGCAGAATACTGATTTAAGGATTTAAACAGTCAGTGGTTTGGTTTTGTTAAAAGAGTTAAAAAGCGGACGAATCTGAAGATGAAGACGAACATGTTACGAATACGAAGACGACAATGAATACGATGCCACAGTCTAAGACGAATTGAAATACGACGACTAATACGAAAACCGATAGAAACCAAAGACGTATTTGGCCGAGCTTCTCCTCCAATTCGTGTTCTGCTTCTTGGTTTTGTGACACATATGTAGAGATCTACATCTTTATTCCATCTCCGTAGAAGCTTTTTTATGGTAGAAGTACATTCGAATTTGCCATTGGCTGCAGAGGGGCCACTGCTATTTGAAAAAAAAAAAAACTTTTTTTTTTTTTTTTAGAAATTGAACCATGCACCTCCGGTGTGGCAGTAGGCACATTTAAGCAACCCGGCCATGGCGGCAAGAGTACTATTCAAAACCGAAAACAAGTCAGAAAAAATGCAATAAAGCAGTAGTATTTTTTTCTTAATTTTGAAATCGGGAACCGGTATTTTTTCAAATTGCAATTTTTTGAATAATTCGAAAGTCGGTTTTGGAAAAAAGGCGAATAATCGAACACCCTACTATGTATATATGTATATCTAAGCAAAAATACTTGCAAGGCATATCTTGCAGTGCACTTGGCTTTCCTTAACTAGCGACTTTTACGCATCCGTACATAGTATGGTGTTGATGGCCATTGTTATAATCCTAGCGATTCCAATTTTTGGTTTAACCGGATTTCACATGGTGCTCGTATCTCGTGGCCGCACAACAAACGAACAAGTTACAGGCAAATTTAAAGGCGGCTACAATCCATTCTCTCGTGGCTGTTGGCATAATTGCTGCTACACTCAATGTGGACCACAATATCCGAGGTATGTATGATGATGTTATTCACATTCATCAAATGCGATTACATATTAATATTCTCCGTTTTCTTATTAACTTACGCATTTCCATAATTGAAATAAATTATGTTGCTCACATCCTACACCCGCTGATGATAATCTCTCTCGAATGTTGACGCACTACTACGACTAAAACCTCTACGGTCATTGTAAACAACAGTCTTCTTAAGCCAGAAAAATATGCAGCTCGTCGCTCACACAAGGATGGTCAGGGTATTAGTGTTATCACTACCGAACGTCGCAACAATCAGCAGAGCAGCAGCATGCGGGGCAACAGTACACCTGGCAATGCGCCACGTTCGCCACGTGAAACGCTGAAAAACTATTACGATAGGGATAATCGACACACTCAGGTAAAGACTTATACGGACCAGGGCAATGGTTATAATCAACGGTCGGGCAGCACAACGCTTTATAGTAAGGTGGGTAAATTGATTATTGCTGGTTATTGTTGCGATTTGTTTGCGAACCTATGTATCTTTTGTAAAATCCAAAAAAAAAAAAAAAAA